TGCATTTATCCTAACATCAAATACAAGTGTTACTTTTTTAATTAAAAGAAAGGTTACCTACAGAGAAATGGGGGTATAGAGGGAGAGAAGAAGGAAAGAAGGGAAGAAGGGGCCTTTGAGATGGGATTAAAGGGTGTATAGGATTTTGAAAGATAGAAAAAGGGAGAAGACACTTCAGGAGACAAAAATTTGAGCAGAGGCTGCAAGATAGCAAAGTACAAAGCCTCTGTGAGGAAGAACCTGAAGTAGACAGAATGATGAAAGACCAGGAAGGATTATAGGGAGATAAAGTAGAAAAAGACAGATGGGGGCAGATCCTGGAGTGCCTTGCCTGTCTTTAAAGAGAATCAAATTTCCAGACCAGCTATGAAGAGTAAGAAAGAAGGAAAATGATTTCTTTTCTATAGTTCTTCACATTTCAGAAATACTTTCACCAGAAAGAATTTCTAACAATACTTTTTCCCCCGACTGATTGTGAAATTCTGTTGTCTAACCAAATTTATAATTTTTTAAATTAGAATGGTTGCCTTTCTTGTCTAATTCCTTTTAATCCTTTCTTGATATCATCCTCTGCCTTATATTTGTATCCCAATTTGATTTTAAACCTCAACTTTCTAAGGATTATGCAACAGCAAAAACATACTGACCTGCAGTTTTGCTAAGCAGAATATCGGAGGGAAGAGTGCTTTCAGAGAGCCTCAACCAGATCCCCTAGTTCACAGTCAACAGAGTGAGGCCCAAAGAGGGAAGAAATTCCCCCAGAGTCACACAGACAAACTCACAGTCCAGTGCCCTCATCAGTTTACTGTGTCTAGCCCACCATCTGTTTACCTGCTCAACTTGTTCCAGGGGCTCAGTTTTCGCTCAGGGGAGAGCAGATTCCAAACCAGATCATCATTTTTCTACCTTAAGAGAATATCATTCACTTGCTTTCACGAGGCAGGAGGGAAAGACACACACAGAAAGATCAGGGACTGGCCCACATCACACACCCAGCTGGAGCAGAACTGATGCTATACTCATCTCTCCACAGTCCCATGCATTTTCTTTACCCTGCAAGTGATTTTGGCATGAAGTTCTAGGTGGGAAAATAGATGCAATTAATATCTCATTACTGTAACCATTTCCAAATTCAGAAGGACCAACCTTCATCCAAGAGGCCACGTGTCGTAAAATATAAAGGCTTCTGACACTCTTCCTCCTGAAGCCCTTCCTGCCTGACCATAGACTAGACACAGTCGGGGGAGAATTGGAGCAGAGTTTGGAAGTTAATCTGTACTTTAGTCCCCAGCAAATTGCTTTGAGTTTCTACTTAAATTTTAAATAACATACTATTACTACATATCAAGCACTTTTCCCTATTTCCAGTTAATTCTTTTAAAGTTGTATTTTTATTAAAATTTCTATGATTCAGTCTCAAAGGACTTCATGTTCAAGAAGTACAGTCCATCTACAACAGTAATGAGAAAGGAATTTCATTCTACAATCAAGAACATGAACAGGGACCTAAATAAAGAGACCACAACTGTATATAAAAAAATCCTTTCTTCTTCCATCCTTTTTTCTCAATGTGCAGCTGTTCTGTCATCAACCTCTCCATCAAAATTCCTCCTCTGCTCCCATTAAGGCAGCTTCTTTTCCCTCTCACTTCCATTGCCCTCCCTTTCCCAATCGTGTATTCTACAGTTTGACTTGACATCTCTCTTAGCAAGAAAGAGTAACTCCTTTAGAAGAGGGAGAAATGGATCTGGCAATTTGGGATTCTCTTTTGTGGGCTGGATGAGTATATGTTAATGTCCTCATATGAGTTCATTCTTGCTTTGCTATAAAGAAATACCTGAGACTGGGTAAGTTATTTTTAAAAAAGAGATTTAATTGGTTCATGGTTCTGCAGGCTGTACAGGAATTATAGCTGCGGAGGCCTCAGGAAACTTACAATCATGGCAGAAGGCAAAAGGGGAGTAGGCACACCTTACACGGTCAGAGCAGGAGGAGAGTGCGGGGAGCTGGGGAAGATGCTACGCACTTTTAAAACAACCGTATCTCTTGAGAACTCTCTCATGAGAAAAGCATTAGGGGGATGGTGCTAAAGCATTAGAAACCACCTCGTGATCTGATCACCTCCTACCAGGCCCCGTCTCCAACATTGGGGATTATAATTTGACATGACAATTGGGTGGGAACACAGACCTAAACTGTATCAGTCCCCTAATTTCTTCCTACTGGTCCTATTGACCCCAGAGTCAGTCTTCCACAATATAGTACTTGACATATTTGACAAAATGTCTTAAGCCAGTAACTTCCCGTTTTTCTGTTCTCCAAACTAACCATGCCACTATAAAGTCTCTGGGCCTTCATATGTAACATATGATGTGAAATTCTTATGCAAAAAGAGGTTAAAAGAAGAGACTTTTGTAGTATTGTTAGCAAATATTAATTAAGCACTCATGTGTAAATTAAGCCAAGCTTTGTTGTAGGTGCTGAGAATAAGGTGCTAAACAGAATCCCTACCCTAGAAGAGTTCACCTTTGGGCTGGAAGAGACTGAAAATAAATAAACAAGTAAATAAATACATAAGATATCATATGTATCATTCTATCATAAATGAAGAATTACAATCTAGAGAGTTGCTAGGAGTTGGGGTAGATTTACATTAGCTACAGTGCTCAGGGAAGACCCCTGGAGGCAGTGACTTTAGGGGTGAGATCTGAACAATCTGAAGGAAGCAATTGTTTGACAACTGGAAGCCCAGCACAAAGACCTTGAAATGATAACCACTTGGCATCTTCAAGAAAAAGGAAGAGCATCCCATTGGGTTAGGGCACAGTGCCTGAGGGAAAGAGTGATGGTCTATCACTTCATGGTGGAGAGCTTGAGGGAATATGGGTAGGGAGAGCACATTTAACTCTTAGCAAGGTAAAAAGTATGTGAGGATCTGTGTCAGGGAACGGCATGACTGATTTTGTTTTTAAGTTTGTTTGGTAGCTATGTGGAGAAGCAGCTGACAGGAGGCAAGAGAGATGGCAGAGATACTAGGCAGGAGTGGTCCAGGTAGGAGAGGAGAGGGGTTCCAACTCAGTTTGTAAGAGTGGAGACGATGTGGTTCTGTGATATGATGAAGATGTAGACCCAATAAGATCTTGGTTTTCCAGTTGTGCAGCCCTGGCCTGAGGTAACCAGCATACTTGTAGAATGTTCCTCAAGTCTTCTTGTGACAACCTCTGAATCTGTGAGCTACTATTCAAATGAAAAGTACACATTACCTTAGAACAAGCCACCAATTTTAGTAACATTTAAGTCTAAACCTATACTTCATAAAATTATCACTAAAATAAAGAGATTCTGAAGATAATGTATTTCTGTATACAACACAAAAAATATTTTACAGGAGTTCAGCCTCTTAAAGCTCCAATAGTTCCAACCCTCCACCTCCTTTTCTGGTCTCACTTATACTGTATAACTAAGACCTTGCCCATGGCCAGTATTAGAACTCCAGAATACCAGGACTGTTCGATTAACTCCAAAGCCCAAGTGGTGTGGATGTTTATGGATGATTCCATAATATTGATTCTACTCTAAGGCTAGGCCAGGCCAGGTAATTCTGTTTTTCACAAACGATTGACTCTGAAATTTACATAAGACTCATTTAGTTAAGAAAATGTTAGAATACAGTGTTCTGGAGACTTCTATCAAATACATTCATTATTCCTAGAAAAGAAACACAGAGAGAGCCATCATTCTCTGGATAGTACCATGTCTGGAGGTGAGACATGCAAATCCTACAGCCATCACTGAGTTTGTAACCTTCCATAAAATGAAGCCTGTACTGAGGTTGATAAAATATAAAGATGGAAAGAATTTGGGTTCTTGATGACATTGTTAAGATGCCGGTCAGAAATGCCTAGAGCCTCCTATAACTCTAGACTTCACACTTTGTGAGATATATTTCCTTTTTGCTTTAGCTGGTTAGTATTGTAGTTTTGGGTTACATTCAGCCAAATTCATTCCATCAGATATGTTGAGGTTAATTTTTATAAAAACATTAACAGATATTTATTAGACCCCCACTACATGTCATGTACTATTCTAAGTGCTGGTAATACAGAGGTTAATAAGGCAACATTGCCTATTTTTGTGACACTGAATATTTTCACTTGGAGGCAAAAGGAAATAAGTAGAAATAAATTAGTAATCTCACATAACAATGCTATAAAAATAAAGGAGGTAAGATGCTAGAAGATTACTGGAGGCCATAAGGAAAGGGGCAAAGTCTTATAAAAAAAAAATATTAGGTCTATGCAGAAGTGCACCAGCCCCATGGATGCTCATCACAGCAATGTTTGTAACAGCAAAAGTAATGAGGCTTACTGGAAATAACCTAATGAAATACATGGGGCCTACTGAAATACATTTTGGAACATTCATATGGTAAAATATGTTGTCAATAAAAAAGACTGGGTTAGGTCATGTGTGGTACATCACACCTATAATACCAGCACTTTGAGAGGCCAAGTGGGGAGGATTGCTTGAAGCTGGAATTTTGAGACCAGCCTGGGCAACAGTGAGACCACCATCTCTACCCCAAAAAATATTTTTAAAAGACCGAGTTAAAAGAATATATTGGATTACATGATACTCTGTCTTTGATATATTATTAATAAAAATAAAAAGCTGGTTGTAGATGAGTATCTATAACTGAGTACAGTGTTACCTCAGTTATAGGAATTATACAGAGGATTGATGGATACAGAGAGGTAGATAAAGATGGATGAAGATAGAGATAGAAATAGGTAGAGATTTATTTTTCATTGGTATGTAGTAAAGTTTATCAGTGTTGCCTACCTTTTATAAGAGACACAATAGAAGAGGTAGAGAGAAAATATTATTTCTTGCTACTTCTTGATTTTATGAGCAGTTTTAGAATTTATTTTACTATGTGGACCCTTCAATTTATAAAAAAATACATTTAAATTTTTAAAATTCCATGTAACTTTTTTCAGGGGAAATCAGAGTGAGGAACAATAAATGTGAGTAAAGATTATTGCTCAAGAGTGGCTTTTGACATACATGGCATCAGAGAAGAACCTGAATTGAAATAGAAACCAGGCAGAAAAGGAGGCCATCTGTTCTACCTAGTATCACCTGGCATATAGTATCCCCACCAACAGGGGTAAGCACTGCAGGAAAAAATTCTACCACCAGAAGCTTTGCAACTCCAAAAGCAGCGTTGTATGGGACAAGGTGCCAAGATTATCTACAAGATAATTTCAGAGCAGAGAGATGTTGGAGGAGGATTTTAGAAAAATACTTGAGAATGCCAGAACAGACCAAAGCTCCAACAGATCACAGAAGTACCTGGCAAAGGGCCCCATGGCAAGGGACCTCTGAAGACCTGCACATTGAGGAGAAGGTGTAAGTTATTACCAGGTATATTTATATGACCTTGCAGATATTCTTCCTCCCAGGTCCTTTGGTCTGAGCCAGGCCAAGAACCTGGGTTGATTTCACTTAAGCTGTGGCCCCCCTCTTCACTGAACATGTGTTTTGAAAAACCCTCATCTGCTACACATCAAACCCATATTTGTGACATGATTAGCAGGTCTCCAAAGGAGGCTGAATCAAAGCCAATCTCAAGAGCAGGGCAGATTGAGCAATCCATTTTACAATAATGGAGAGGATTAGGGGAGGAGAGCTTTTCTGGATGCCTGACTTTTTATCTTTCAGTTTTGTCTTCTTGTCTTATCAGTAACCATCATAGATTTGATAACTAGAGACCTAGTTCTCTGATAAATAGTTCACAGGGTGAGAAATGACAGATCAGGATGAAGAAAATAAGTTTTTTTCACCCATGGAAGACTCCACAGCCTCAAAGCACTGTTCTGTGAGTGCCTGTCCTTCAGTGTGTCACATGCAGTTGCTTAATGATAACCAAAGTTGCTGTCAACCTGAGGACTTTTGCTGTTTTTTACATTAACTTTACAGCTTCAACCAGATCCTTTCACCCATTTCTCCCTTGCTCTGTCCATTGCTAAAGTAGGATACCAGGCAAGGTAACAACCCAGAGAAAAGAAGGAATATAAAATATAGAGTGCCTTGCCTTCCCATTAGTTTGATTAGCTCATTTTAATTTCTAAAATTAATCTCCTAATCTCTAAAAATCTCTAACTCAAAGCAGCCAAGATTGAGAGACATGTGGCTTTCTTAAACCCACCAAAGCCAGCATTGCTAATTGTGTACAATAGCACTTTCTCCTACTACTTCCAGATGTGAGATCTCAGAACCTCAGGCAGTTACTTTAGAACTGACAGGTAAAGCCAGTCTTTTTGCCATTCCTGCAGCTGCTAAGCCAGGCTTTTTCTTTGAATCCTATCTATAGTTTGGGTGCCAAATGAGTCAATTTCCCTTGTATTTGCATGGTGCAGTGTTTGTGTGTGTAATTTAGTACATTGTGGCATCACTAATGGATGACTGCTGAGGAGCTTTTAATCTGCATGGAACACATCTTTATGCTGAAAAGAAAACCAAACTTTGCTTACGGATTGTCATCTGTCATTGAGAGAAAGTCTCAAAATATATGGGCTTCTCACTAAATCACTTTCTTCAGACTTTCTTAAGAGTTTAAAAACAACTCTAGGACTGGGCGCAGTGACTCGTGCCTATAATACAAATGATGTAGGAGGATGGCTTGAGGTCATGAATTCAAGACCAACCTGGGCAACAAAGCAAGACTCTGTCTCCAAATTATTTCTCTGATTAGCCTGGCCTGATGGCATGTGCCTGTAGTTCTAGCTATGCTGGTGAGCCCAGGAGCTCAAGGTTATGATGAGCTATGATCATACCACTGCACTACAGCCATGGTGACAGAGCAAGACTCTGCCTCTATAAACAAACAAACATACAGACATAACTCTATAGAGGGGGAAGACATTTTAACCTTTTTTTTTTTTATCCATCCCTTTCCCACACCTCCTTTCAAAGCGAGAGGGGAAAATTACTAAATAATTGGTTGGAGATCAAGAATTAATTGCAACATGAATATTAATGGGTAGGGCCCCTGCATTAAAAGGCCTTAATTCATCTTTTGCTCCTCTCTACATGCCTTCACTACACACAGCTTGGTCAGTAAGTCAAATCAGGACTTGCCCTTGGCAGAACTTGTCAGCTGCCTCTCTTGCTCTGAAACTTCAAGAAACGCTCACCTAGCTGAATCAGGGTTTTCCTTGGAGCCCTGCCATCACTCTGCTTGCATGCTAAATCACTCTGGATGTTGCACTGTCTTAGTGTCTTATTCACTTTCCATTCCTTCTAATTAACAAAAATATTTTGAGCACCCACTATGTGTAGACATCATTGTAGGTGGTAAATATCCATCCAACACACACACACACACACACGTATATATGTGTGTGTGTATATGTATATATATGTATATATGTGTGTATATACGTATATATACATATATATATATTTCAATTTGGTCAGTAACTAAGCAAAACCTAGAGTTCATCAAATGATGGTAAGTGCTTTGGAACACAATAAGACAGGCAAGTGGACCATGGAATTCAGGGAAAGAAAGGAAATAATGTGTTCTGATTTCAAGTTGCATGGTCAGGAAAGCCCTCACTGAGAAAATGACAGTCAAATCACACCTGAGAAAGCCAGGATCCGGTCTTGTGACTATTTGGGGACAAGGGCAATCCAGGTACGGAAAAAAGCAAATGCAAAGAGCAAGAGGCATTGCTGTGTGTCTGTGAGCAGTAAGGAGGCTGAGTGGCCTGGACAGAGTGAGCAAAGGAAAGAGTGACAGGATGGGACATCAAAGCTACCAAGTCCCATTGCATGGGACTTCTGGGTCACTATGATTGCTTTGGATTTTACACAGGGCAAGAGGGAAAAAACACAGACAATTCAGGTTGTCTTAATTTCCTATTGACGGTCTTTAAAATTTGTCACAAATTACCACATGGTCAGCAGTTTAAAATACCACAAATCAATTCTGCTACAGTTAGTCTATAATCAGTTTCACTGGGCTGAGATTAAGGTGTAAGCAAGCCTGGTTCTTTCCAGAGGCTATGAGAAGAGAATCTTCTGATTCCTTGCCTTCCTCAGGCGTTATTGACTACCCATACTCCTTTGCTTTTTGCCCCTGCTTCCATCTTCAAAGTGCAGCACTCCAGTCTCTGCCTTCATCACAGTACTTTTTCCTCTGACTCTGACTCCTCCAGCATCCCTCTTATTAACACTTCTGTTATTGCATCATATATATACAGATAATCCAGGCCAAATCAAGATTCTTAACTTGTTGGCTGGCTGCAGTGGCTCACCACTGTAATCCCAGCACTTTGGGAGGCCAGGAGTTCAAGACCAGCCTAGGCAGCATAAAGAGACCTTGAATATACAAAAAATAAAAATTAAAAAATTAACTAAGTATGCTGGTGTGTGCCTGTAGTCCTGATGACTCAAGTGGAGGATCCTTTGAGCCCAGGAGGTGGAGGTCACAATGAGCTGTGATCATGCCACTGCACTCCAGCCTAGGTGACAGAGCAAGACCTTGTCTCTAAAAAAAACTTTTTTAATTCTTAACTTACTTATTTCTACAAAGCCTCTTTTGCCATATAAGGTTAAAATCATAGGTTCCAGGCATTAGGATATGGACATATTTTAGAGAGCATTGCTCAGCCTACCATAGATAATCTAACTGGACTTGGGTTTCCAAGGAATGTTCTAGATGCTCTGTTGAAAATGAACTTTTGGACTATGAGGGCAGAAACAAAAAACCAATTAAGTGTCTCTTGCAATACCTTAGGCAAGGGATGATGATGGTTCAGTCCAGGCTGGTGGCATTAGGGGTATTGAGAAGTCATATCTTGGAAATGCTTTAAAAACATAGCCAATGTATTTTGCTGATATGGGTCATTAGAAAAAGAGAAGAGAAACTGATTCCTTTAAGTTTTTAGGAGCAGCTAGGAGGATAGATATGCTTTTTCCTAAATGGGAAAGGTTACTGGTTATTGAAGGAGTAGATCTGGAGGAAAGATAATTAATTTAGTTTTGTTTATTAAATTTAAAATTCCCATTGAAGATCCAAGTTGAGATGTCAACATTTGAATTAAATATTAATATTTGAGCCTAAACAGGTGCATCAAATTAGGCTTTACCATACTTGTGCACTGAAAATTATTATACATTGTACTGTAAATGCCATTTGGCTATTACTCCTTGGATGTAATTCAAACAGAAATATTGTGAGAGCAAGGAAACATGGACCTTATGCAGTAGCAGGTCAGAATTCATGAGCTACCAAAACTCTGGCTATAATACCATCAAAATGGCATGCAAGAGACCCAAGATCCCATTTAAAACTAACACTGTATATATTTGAAAACATAGTTGCAATTTCCAAGGCTGACACTGAGATGTACAGAGATCCTGCTTCTTGGCTTACCGTCTATTAATCTGGGAACTCTGGTTTGCATCAGAATCAGTAGAGTAGTGTGTTAAAATGTAACTTTCTGGATCCTGTCTCCAGTTAACTCAGGAGATCTAGATGGTAGTAGTAATGGTCTGCAATCCAGTTAACATTAAGAAAGAGCAAAGGAAAGACAGATGGGTTGTGGTAAATGAGTATTTGTGGTGGTGCTTGATTTGGTTTGGTTAGTAGTTAAGAACTCACTAAGTATTTACCATAGGTAGGTATGATCTCACTTTATTCTCACAATACTTTAAGAAGTGGGATGAAAGTACTATTATTAGTCTCATTTTGCAGATGAGAAAACTGAAGGCATAGGAAATTAGATGAATTTTCTAGATTACACAGCAGTCAAGGCAGAGTTGATCTTTTCTGCTGAGCTTATTTGGCTCTAACTCCCACATCCATGCTGGTACCCAGAGTACTGTGTTGCGGATGGGAACATGGATCAACTGAGTGGTTGGAAAGATGGAAGGGTGTGACTCCAAGATGCTGCTGATAATGTCTGGAATTATGTTGGAGTTAGTAGGGCAAGCTCTGCAGCTGGGCTGCCTGCTTTCAAATCTGTACTCTGCCGCTTGACAGCAAGGTGACATTTGTTATGCTATTTCACCTCTCTAAGTTTCACTTTCACCCCTCTACCTATAGAGATATATTATATTAGCACCTATATCATCAGTTATTGTGTTGGTAAAATGTGATACTCTGAAGTCTTATTCTTCATGGCCTCCAGAATCTCTCCATGGTCTGCTATCCTGTTTCCTCCTCAACTTTCTATCTGTACTATTCTTCACCACTGGGCATCTTGCTCAAAGATGCTTACTTCTTCTTATTCCACGAACAAATCTGTCACTGGGGACATTTATCTCAGAATTTTCATCTGCCTGGAAAACTCTCCCTTTCCCTCCCTCTCCCAGACAGTAATATGGCAGTATTTTTCTTA